TTCCACATAGGTGTGAGATCATATGATAATTGTCTTTCTCTGATTGACTTATTTCGCTTAGCACAATACCCTCTAGTCCCATCCACGTTGTTGCAAATGGAAAGATTTCTTTCTTTTTTTCTGATGGCTGTGTAGGTTTTAAACATCTAAATCTAATTGTTTTTTTTTTTTAAAGATTTTATTTATTTATTTGTCAGAGAGAGAGAGGGAGAGAGAGCAAGCACAGGCAGACAGAATGGCAGGCAGAGGCAGAGGGAGAAGCAGGCTCCCTGATGAGCAAGGAGCCCGATGTGGGACTCGATCCCAGGATGCTGGGATCATGACCTGAGCCGAAGGCAGCTGCTTAACCAACTGAGCCACCCAGGCGTCCCATAAATCTAATTGGTTTTAAACATCTAAATCTAATTGGTAATTCAGGGTGTGTTTTTCTCTGATCTGTATTTCTCTGATGTCTTTCTCTGATGTCTTTCTCTGCTTTTCATTCACTCTCTTCCTTCAGACATAAATTAGATTATTTTTAGTATTAGAGACATTCTTGGTACAGAAGGGTAGAGAATGTGTGTTGTCTTGATTAATTAAAACCTATGGCTTGACCCTTAATTTTTACCTTGTGTTTGTCAAATGCACCTGTAAGCCGCTCTGGGTGGTATTTGTAACCAAATGTAACTGCATGAAATGAGGCCCCAGACTCAATGAATCAAAAGTGTTTTGGTTCTTGTCACCACAAGGCACAATTCTCAGTTCTCATATGTGCCACCTGGGGTCAGGCCAGAAGGAAACAGAGCTGTGTGTTTGGCATTGTGCATTCTCTGCTTGCTTAACTTTTGACGTGGGGAGCAAGGACACCGGGGGAGGCCTTAGGAGCAGAACAAAGATTGTCTTGGCACCAAGTCTGTTGAGCGGAAGGACCCGCATGTGTTTAGCTGCTTGGGCAAGGCATAGCATTTTAAATTCACAGAGAGGGACCAGGTATCATCTTTTGCTACAGTAAGGTGGTTTTTTAAAATTTTTGTTTTGTTTTCTCCATCAGATGTCAGAATAGCCAAGTGTGTTTTGTTGGCTGTCTCTTGGCATAATCCACATGGTTCTCTAGTTTCACGGAAACAGACCAAATGAAATACACAGATATATGGGGGCTGGGGAGGGTGGGAGGGGGCCTTATTGTCTACAATAGTGTTTTCCAACCAAATAGCTTTAGGTAAACCGAATTTTATAAGATTACCTCATTTTAATCCTCATCATGCCATCATCCTTTAAAGGAGACCCTTTGTAATGTGGACGGTCCTTGCAGCAATAATGCATAGCCTCCTCCAAAGCAATTTTTAAAAAATCTTGTTATGTTAAATTTTCTTAAGTGGAGACATGCCCTTGGAGCCCCTTAAGACTACTTCAGCATTTAGTTTCAGCACAAAGAGCTATTTCTTCCCTGGGAAGCTGGATTCTGGAGCCAGATGGGGTGAGTTGGAATCCTGACTCTGCTACCAGGATAGTACTTAGCTGTCTCTGCCTCAGTTTCCTCTTTGGTAAACAGGATGCTGGTGATAACTTCTTTGTAGGGTTGCCGTGAGGATTTAGTGACTAGTGATGTAACTTCTGGATCACTGCCTGGACTACATATGTAAGGGACCTAATAAGTGTCTGCCTCAGTATAGGATGCTTCTGAGTAGCCTTTTGTTCCCTGAGAGAGAGTGGATGGTGGTGCTAAAGATTTACCCTGGTCATAGAAGCTTTTATGTAGTTAAGAAGCTATCAAGGAAAAAGATGAGGAAGTAATTTAATCTGGAAGAGGATAATAAAAAACCCCCCAAAACAAAATAGGAAACTATTATGCCAACTTATAAGTTCAAACTGACTGTAACAAAGAAGTCCCAAGTCCTTGTGGCTTTACAAAATACAAACATTTCTTTCTTGTATGTCATTCAGATTGAGGTGGTCAGACAGCCCTGCAGAGCAGTTAAGCTCAGTGTGGTGATTCAGGAAGCCAATCACATTTTCTCCCATGGCCTCGCCATATTGGAATTCTTCACTTCAGCTGTGGGGGTGAGGAAGAGAGATGGAGGGAGGTAGAGAAGGAGAGGGAAGGGGGATGGAGGGAGAGATGCTGAGAGAGAGAGAAAGAGGGAGAATATGAATGAATAGAAGCTCAGAATCTAATGAAAGATTTTAGGGAACAAGTGTGGAAGTGGCCAACATACCATTTCTCTTCCTGTTCCATTTACCAGAACTAGTCACATGACCCTCTTCTACCTGCCTGGGGTTCTGGGAAGTGTGCCCTCTAATAGGAAGCAGGATAGATGAGTATTCATGTAGTCTATAGCACAATTATTAACCATACCACATATTTTCTGTAACCATATCACATATTTCTGCTGAAATAGCTGGCAGATATTTTTCATAATACCATTTCTGAAACTCTATAATGTCAAGACCAGCTAAAGTTTTATAAATTATTGTGTTTCTTTCTTATTTTTGAAACTTGCAGAAAGTCCTGAAATCTGGTGACCTGTACTTGTGAACATTTTGTTGTGCTATTAGTTGAGAAGCAAGGACTCTAGGTGACAGTATCTTTTTTGGGGTTTTTTTGTTGTTGTTGTTATTTTGTTTTGTTTTGTTTTTAGGGAAGTAATCAGAGTAGGTTTAATGTCCTGAAATGCAAACTATATAGTTCTGGAAAGTTGCTGGAGTCAGCTGAACATTTGACATCAAAAGTCATCAAAACAAAATCAGAAGCAAAATAGTGTGCAAAAGATAAGAGGAAATTATCTGTAGGGGTACAAAGAACTGAGGCCACATGGTGATGTAGAGATGATCCCTTGCAACAGATTCGAAGAATTTAGTGCAACTCTTTCTTACAACACCAAACTTTGTCTGTAGTAGGTGACAGTATCTTAATAGCCATCTCTGACAGGCAGGTTCCTATTAAGGAGAAAGTTTTTATGTTTTGTATCTTGCTGGTGATCAGTAACTGACAAAAGGCAAGAAGTTAATGATCCTATTATGCATTGAAATTGCATGGGACAGTCCAAGAGTATTTTTGTTTTGTTTTGTTTACTACTCCAGTAAATACAGCTCACTATTGCAACTAATGTTTGTATTCAGCTCTGATGGGAAGGATGATGGCCGCTTCCTGCATCTTATATCAAATGAAGTGACTTAATCCTGCAGCTTTATTAATAATATTTCACTTGAGCAGTTCTTTTCGATCATAATTGGCCTCTGCACAGATGGAGAAGTTTATTTATAAGCGTAAACCTGGGGGGAGTTTATAGCTCACGGACACACCTTGAGGCCATGCTTAACAAAGCGTCTAGGTTAATATATACCTCACATTTTTCAGGGTTTTGTAGTTCTGTGAATTAATTTTGGATCCCATTTCTTCTGCCACGGCTCAGATGCTTTAACACAATTGGGAAGCAGAATAACGTTCTGGCGAATCATGTGGTCTTCAGCTTCAGACGGGGGGTGGAATTCCAGCTCTGCCACTAAGTCACTCTGGGACCTTGGACCTTTTGTTATTTGCTGTGGTTGCCTGGGAGTTTCTAGTAACAAATACCAGACTGGTGGCTTAAACAGCTGAAATTTATTTTCATACGGTTCTGGAGGTTAGACGTCTCAGATCAAGGTGCCTGTGGGGTTTGTTCTTGATGAGGCCTGTCTCCTTAGCTTTTTGATGGCCCACCTTCCTGTGTCTTCACAGACTCTTCTCTCTGTACCCTTAGGGTATCAGCCACCGAACTTGAATCAGGAGCACTGCTAGCCCCACTGACTCACTCCTTTGTCCTCCAGCAGCTGAGCTGCCCAGTTTTTCTTTTGAAACGACTCTGGAATATGTGTCTTTTAATAAAAGTTAATAATGACAGCTAGGATTGTCACATATAAATACATGTGAATTTATATGAAGTAATTTTTTACTGACTATAAAATAACAGGTACATTCACTCTTATGATCATAAAGGCTGAAATATGTCTTATCAGGGATTAGTGGAACATGTTATTCATCAGTTTAACGGTTACCTTTTTTTCCTGTACTTCTTATTACCTTTCTTTTTTTCAAGTTCTGTTTCTATTCTACTTATTGATTTATTCATTCATTCATACATTCATTCAAGTGGGCTCCATGCCCAGTGTGGGGCTTGAACTTATGATCTTGAGACCAAGAGTCACATGCTGTACCAGCTGAGCCAGTCAGATGCCCCTATTTACCTTTCTGTTAAAAAAAAAAAATACCTGCAAGGGCAGGATGCCTCAGTCGTTAAGCGTCTGCCTTCGGCTCAGGTGGTGATTCCAGGGTCCTGGGATCGGGCACTGCATCGGGCTCTCTGCTCAAGGGGAAGCCTGCTTCTCCCCCTCCCACCCCCCTGCTCCTTTCCCCCCTCTCACTGTGTCTCTGTATGTCAAATAAATAAACAAAATCTTTAAAAAAAATTACCTGCGGTAATAACAAAAAATGCCCCTTCCTGTCAATCCCTCTCTATGCATTTCTCTTCCCTCACCAGTCTATGTCTTCTAACACTAAATCATGACCAAGAAACCTTAATATGTACAGTTTTTATCAGTCATACCTCAATACATCTAGAAAATAATAAACTTGCTGTTCCATTTTAAAAGTACGGAGAGGGCGCCTGGGTTGCTCAGTGGGTTAAGCCTCTGCCTTCAGCTCAGGTCATGATCTCAGGGTCCTGGGATCCAGCCCCGCCTCTGGCTCTTTGCTCAGCGAGGAGCCTGCTTCCCCCTCTCACTCTGTCTGCCTCTCTGCCTGCTTGTGATCTCTCTCTCTGTCAGATAAATAAATAAATTCTTAAAAAAAAAAAAATAGTACGGAGGGTAGTGCCACAGCATCACTGCCTGCCTGCTCTTCTTTCCTTTCTGGTCCTTCTGTTATTGTTGATTTTTTTGGTTCTTATGTGTCTCATTCTTGAAAGTATTCTGAAAATTTGCCTTTTTATTTTTTACTTTGTTTAATTTTAATTTTTTTTTTTGTTTTTGTTTTTGTTTGGCAGAAAAGAGCAAGTTAGTACCTTGTATCTAAACATCAACCTTGTGGAGCCAAGACTAATTCAGTCATACGAGCATGTTATAAGGAACTTTATCCGTGAGATCAAACTGCAGAGCACAGAAATGGAAAACCTGGCCATTGCAGTGAAGAGGTATTGAATTCCTTCCTGTCTTTCTTCCTCTTCTTCGTCTTCTTCTTCTTTTTTGTTAAAGATTTATTTACTTGTTTGACAGAGAGAAACAGCAAGAGAGGGAACACAAGAAGGAGTGGGAGAAGGAGAAGCAGGCTTCCCGCTGAGCAGGGAGCCTGACATGGGGCTCAACCCCAGGACCTTGGGATCCTGACCTGAGCTGAAGGCAGATGCTTAACCAAGTGAGCCACCGAGGCACCCCTCTTCTTCTTCTTTTTTTTTTTAATAGAGAGAGAGATAGAATGTGAGTGGGGGTGTGGCAGAGGGGTAGAGGGAGAGAGAATCTTAAGCAGGCTCATATGTGGACGTGGAGTCCAACACAGGGCTCGAGTTGATGACCCTGAGATCATGAGCTGCATCAAAATGCAAAGTTAGAAGCTTAACTGACTGATCCACCCAGGTGCCCCAAAGCCCTTCCTTTCTGAGTGGTATGGGGAGGTCCTTTAACTGGCTCTGTGTCCAGGAGGCCCGTGGACTGAATTGCACGATCCCATTTTGATGTGGGTGGACTTCCCGAACCTCGGGCATCTGGAGCTTCCTAAGCTGGGCCAGCACAAAGGCTGAGTCGGGCAGGACGCTGTAAGGACTGCCAGCAGTCCATCAGTAGGTTACTGTGATCCTATCCTATAAACTTTTCAAGAGCAATGATTCCATCCAGAACAGTTCTGACAGTTTTGTTACTGTATATCCATCCTCTTGAAGCCTACCGGAAATGTCTCATCTGGAGAGGCAGACAGGACAGCCCTTGAAGCCTGGCCTGGTCATGGGACGGTGTGTGACTTTGGGCAGGTTCCTGCATCTGCAGAACGAGACTGTAAACGTCCACATTCTCAGGGTGTGGAGGCCCAGGAGATGATGTCCCGGGTGGTGCCCCACGCCCCAGGCTGACCACATGGTGGGTGATCAGTGGTGGGATTCTTCCTGTCTCTGGCCCTCCTCACCCAACCTGAACTGGAAGACAGAAAGCTGTAAGCCCATACTGTCCTATGGCTTGTGTAAGCCGTAGCTGGTTTACATAGGATATCTTACTGGTCTGAACAGCAGCCCAGGGCAGAGGAAGGGATTACATGTGTTACAGTCCAAACGTCAGCCTCTTTGTTCCCCAGAAGGACTGCAGTCCTCTGGCTTCAGTGGGAAAGAGAGCATTTTGTTTGTTTTAATTCCCGGCTGTTCTGCCCCATAGTGGCTTCTGGTGGTGGCCATTTCACCAGTGTCTCTGAGTGTGACGTGTGTCCTGCTGGCTTCTGCCCAGAACTTGTAAAGGCCCCTTTGATAGGATGCACCCCACCTGCAAGGGAGCAGGAGAGGGTATGCCTCGGTCTTTTTATTCTTTCCTTCCGAAACATGATGATCAAGCTATCTAGTTAACTTTTTGGAGTTTAAGTGAAGGGAATTAAAATATAGGAGTGTTTTCAAACATTGATGCTACATAGGACTTTTTATAGTTCTGGAGTCATGCGAGATTTCAGTTCCTGACTCTGAAATTTTCTCTCAAATTTGTCTTCTAGGGGTTTTCAGTAGGAGAGTAGGGCGGTCCTATGAACTCCAAATTCTGTAAACTAGGGGTGATTCACAGACCCACTTATTGAGTTTTTAGAGTGTCCAAGAATATCTGTTAAACTTCCATTAACAAGCATGTGCACACACACACATGGATTTGTATGTGACCTTTAAGGGTAGTATCATATAAAACCACAAGGGAAAAAAGAATGTCCTTCTTCATGTTCTCATCACCAGCCAGGCTGCTGTCCCTCTGCGGAGGGAATGTCTTAGCTGTGCTGAGCTGTATTCCTGCTTGTCTCCTTCCTGCTGCTCAGCTGTTGGAATGGGAGCCAAAGTCAGGCTCTGTCCCAACTACCAGAGACCTCACTGAGGTGCTTCCATGATGACTGTGAAGTTTTCTTAGGTTCTTAGCTGAGGACCATCACCCTCACCTGGAGTTGTGGATGGGGGAAGGTCTCTATCTTTTCACTCTGCACATGGACCTGAAGGATGGGCAGTGTCCTGATGGGAGCCCAGGACCAGGATAGAGTGGACAGTCTTCATCACACCAGACGTTTCACTATGAGCTAGGAATTCACATCAGACATTTCACTATGAGCTAGGAATTGCTGGGGCAAACACAGTGTCATTATAAACTTATACCTGACTTATAAAAAAAAAAAAATGTTGCTCAGAAGTGAGGAAGGCAGAAAGAACACATTCAGGAGTAGTCCTGGATATCGAGAAGGAGTGGTTGGAAAAACGGTAATAGGGGGAGGAGGGATGTGGGACTTGGCTGTTTTATAGTCCCAGAGTTGAGCAAACTAAACAAACTTTCTGTGGAGATATGTAGTTCTTAGATGTCCTATAGCAGGTATTTATAAACGAACCAGAAATAGCTAACTTTCCAAATGAGGTTAACATCTCTTCAGGCGGGCTATGAGGTAAGAATGAAGAAGACACAAGGGGAAAATAGCAGTAAGTCACTCAGAATTTTATTTTGGGGCCTTCTCCCCACCCCTCAGGACTCACTTGGAACTTTATATAGAAATTAAAGTAATGTACGCAAAGACCGTGTTAACAAGGGAGCCAGCAAGTGGAAAGCAGGAAAAATGGTGTCCCAGAGCCATCAAACTGGAAGACAGGAGATCTTCTGTGAGGTTCTTTTTTTTTTTTTTTAATATTTTTTAAGGTTTTATTTATTTATTTGGCAGAGATCACAAGTAGGCAGAGAGGCAGACAGAAAGAGAGGAAGGGAAGCAGGCTCCCCGCTGAGCAGAGAGCCCAATGTGGGGCTCGATCCCAGGACCCTGGGATCATGACCTGAGCTGAAGGCAGAGGCTTTAACCCACTGAGCCACCCAGGCGCCCCATGTTAGGTTCTGTTGTCTACTTTTTATCAATGTCATGTCATTGACCCTCTAAATCCCGTGACGGCTCTTGTCATCTAGTTTAATAGGCAAGACTTATGAATGAGAAACTTAGATAATCGGACATACATCAGAGAAAGAGAATTAAAAAATCCATTTTTTTAGGGTTTAATCTGCAGCCTTGACCATTGTAGAGTGACAGATGTCTCCATAGTAGCCAGTTGCTCAGGAAAACTATGCCACAACTCTCTTCAATGACATGTTCCCATTTCTAACTTTTTGACAAATCAGTGTGCTCTTCATCTGTAGAGAGGTGATTTGGGGATTAGTAAAGGAAACAGAATTTTTCTACAATGTAAAGACTATTTTTATTCTAGAACTTTAGGAAGCTGATTAGAAATAATTGTTGAGGGGCGCTTGGGTGGCTCAGTGGGTTAAGCCACTGCCTTCGGCTCAGGTCATGATCTCAGGGTCCTGGGATCGAGCCCCGCATCGGGCTCTCTGCTCTCTCGGGGAGCCTGCTTCCTCCTCTCTCTCTGCCTGCCTCTCTGCCTGCTTGTGATCTCTCTGTCAAATAAATTAAAAAAAAAAAAAAAAAAGAAATAATTGTTGAGATTCCTTTTATCCCCTTCTCACCGTAGCATATAACATTGTGTGTTTTCTATAAAGAATTTCAGAATTCTAACCAAATATCTGTTTGCCGTGGGGTTCTTTTTTTTTTTTTTTTTTTTTTCCTGGTCCAGTATTGTCACTCAGTCGTGGGAGCAAAAAGGATTTTCAGAATTTAGCGAGAGCTTCCCAGTGATTTGATATCTTTAGCTGTTCTCTGCCACTATCTAGGTTAACACTATTTTGTCTAATTTATACCGTTTACTAAATATCTAGTTTTAATGTTATTTTACACCCAAGTGGTCAAAGTGCCAATCCTGTTTTATGATGTGGAAGAACAGGGCATATTCTTTAAAATAGTGTGTTTCTCCTCATCTATAACATAGGGGTTGAAATAGAGGAGGCTGAAGTGGTCTCTGCATGTTGCAGTGAAAAGGTGTGCACCCTCTTGAATTTCAGAGCCCAGGACAAGGCAGCCATGCAGCTGAGTGAGTTGGAAGAGGAAATGGATCAGAGGATTCAGGCAGCAGAACACAAGACGCGTAAAGATGTGAGTTTGTGGGATTGGCCCTTTCTTTCCACGAATTCTGATGGATCGCCTTTTACAGACCGGGCACTGGGCAGGGTTTTTTCCATGAGGGCTATTTTTGGTAGTGGTTTTGGGGGGAGAGCGAGGGGAGAGAGAGATAATAAATAATCATATAATGTAGATAATTTCAGTAGCTACGAGTAAAGAGCAAGTGTGGTCAGCAACGATGGGGAGAAGAGGTCGGCGGGTCAGGGGCCTCTCTGTGGAGGTGCTGTGAGAGTGGAGGCCCGAGGAAGAGGGCAGAGCCCCCCTGGGGTAGAGAAGGGTGGCTCAGCTTTTATGCCACAGTCTCCCTGACCATGCCCACTGCCAACTTTAAATCTAGATTGCAGGAAAATTAAAATTCTCTCTGCGAACTTCTGTGTTTTATAATAAAAAGTACTTTTATTCATCACTGACTGAACTCTACAGTTGAAACTTGCTTACCATCACTGATTTCCATAGAAACAATGTTTGTCTTTTTTCCATATAAACTACAGCTGGGTGATGCATGTTTCCTGGAAATGGAAAATAGACTTACCTGTAAGGCTAATACTGGGTTGAACATTCTCTATTCATTTGTCCTGTTACCTCCAAGAGGCAGCAGGATGGAGTGAGAAGGGCCTAAGTATTGGCATCTGATTGGCCTTAATGTGCTTCCTGGCTCTGCCTTTGCCCAGGCAGGTGGCCCTGGGAAAATAACCAGACATCTGACCTTGGTGGTGCCATTTTTAGAATGGGGTAATGCACCAGCCTGCTTCACGGAGGCCCAGCCTGATGATGTACGTGTGAGTGCCTAGCACCGGGCCTGAGGCGTGCTGACTGCATCCTGGCTGTGGCCGGCCTGCTCTTTTCCGTGGCTCTTCGTACTTTGTGTCCTTCCAGATTCTTTGCCTTGGTCTGCTGTACCCCATATATGACTTTGGGTCTCTTTGTTGTCTTATCTCTTACTGGCAAGTTGAGTAACTGTTGGGATGTCATGTTCAGCAGAGTCAGTGGCTCAGAGTCCGTGGGCCCACTTTAGTGCAGTGGAGACCCCATTCTTCTGTTAGCACTCCATTTGTTGTAGTCTAGAAACAGGAAAATCATATATTTTTTTCTGCCTTTTTTCCCTCTCCGTGCAGCTAATCTGTGTGCTCATTCCTTCATCGAACACTTACAAGCACACATGCTCTTCTGCCATCAGTCTCACTGCTTCTTAACCAGCAGACTTGTGGTTGGTGTTGGAGCCCTTACCAGGGCCCCCACACCCTGTAACTTCATGTTTGGCTCAGCTCGGCTCCCTGTGGTTCTGCATCGCACAGCTCTGGTCCGGCGTGATCATCACTCTTCCTTCTCTCCATCTGCTTACGTTGCCTCTCCTTTCCATTTTCCCAAACTCAGCCAAGCTTAGAGACAGTCTCCCCGTCTCCTTGTTGCTCCCTTGTAGTCCTCTGGCCATATTCACCTCTTCCTGACCTTGACTCTTTTTGCCCCTACAGTGTTAGTCCATTGCTCCAGGTAAGTATTTTAGACTGTAATGGCTTTCTTGAAGTAGAACTGACACACAAAGAGCTGCATATTTACAGTACAGAACACGATAACACTGGGTGTATCCATACTTCAGGAATCCACCACCAACAGTCAAGATAATGGGTGTATCCGCCTACCATCTAAGTTTCCTCAGGCCCCTTTGTCATGCTTCCCTTCCTCCCTCCTCTGCCCTCCTTGCCAGGCAACCACTGTGTATCTTCATCCATGAAATGTCTGTTAAAATCTTTTGTTCACTTTGAAAATTAGGTGGTTTTCTTATTATGCAGGGTTTTATTATTTTTTTAATACAGTTTTCTTTTAGACTGATTTATTTATTAGAGAGAGAGAGCACGAGCAAGAGGGGCAGAGGGAGAGAGAATCTCAAATCGACTCTGCACAGAGTCCGACTCCAGGACCTCGAGATCCGATCTGACCCAAAACCAAGAGTCAGACACTTAACTGACTGCACCACCCACGCACCCCTGTTACGGAGTTTTGAGAGCTCTTTATATATTCTGATTTTAAAATTCTCTCCCACATGGTGACATGTCGTTTCATTCTCCTAACAGTGTATTTTGAAGAGTAGAAATTTTTCATTTTGATGAAGTCCGATTTGTCAATTTCTCTTTAATGGATCATGCTTTTGGCGTCTAAGAAATCTTTGCCTAACACAAGGTCACAAAGATTATTCTGCTGTTTTCTTCTGTAGGTTTTGTTTGTTGTAGATTTTACATTTAGGATCAATTTTGCAAGATATGGGTCAAAATTCATATTTTTTTGCAGGTGGATATCCAGTTGTTCCAGCACCATTTGTTGGAGACTGTTTGTTCTCCATTGAATTGCCTTTGCACTTTGTCCCACGTTGGTTTACTGTTTTTGTGTGGTTTTATTTCTGGGCTCTCTGGTGTGTTCCATTGATTGCTTTATGCCAGTATTACATTGCTTGGGTGACTATTGCTTTATAATAAGTCTCGAAATCAAGTAATATTAGTTCTTCAACTTTGTTCTTTTTCAAAGTTGTCTTGGCTATTTTATATCCCTTAATTTCCATAGTATCAGCTTGTCAGTTTCTTAAAAACAAAAAAACAAAACCCAAACCTTCTGGGGGTTGATTTGATTTCATTACATTTATAGATCAATATGGGGAGAATTGGCATCTTAACAATAATGAGTAATTTGATCCATAAACTGGTTGTTTTCTCCATTTATTTATGTCTTCATTAAATTTTCTTTGCATTGTTTTGTAGTGTACAGCCTTCAGATCTTGTAAGTCTTTCCTCAGATTCATTCCTAAGTATTTGATATTTTAATGCTACTCTAAACAATGTTGTTAAAAATTTCAATTTCTGCTTTCCCATTGTGAATACATAGAAATACACTTGATTTTTACATACAGATCTTATACCCTATCATATTTGTTTACATTGCTCACACTCAGCTTTTTGGGTAGATTCCATCAGACTTTCTAGGTAAATGGTATGTAATCTATGAATAAAGACAGCTTTATGTCTCTCTTTCTGACGTGAATGATCACTTCATTTTTCTCTCCTTATTGCACTGGTTAGAACAAGGGAAGTGAGAGCAGACATCCTTATCTACAATCTCTCTCTTAACAAGAAGTATGATGTTGGTGGCATGTTGTTCATAGATGCCCTTTATTGAATTTTGAGCGTGTTCCTGGTTGGCTAAGAGTTGTTGTTCTAATTAGGAATGGAATGTTGGATTTCATCAAATGCTTTTTCTCTAACTATAGAAATGATCATGGCTTTTCTCTTTTTTCGACCATCAATGTGGTAATTACATTGATTTTCAAGTATTAAAACACACTTGCAGTCTGGGGATAAACCCCACTTAGTTATGATGTATTTTCATTTTTATATCTTGGTTAATTCATTTTGCTAAATTTTATTTATTATTTTTGCATCCATATTCATAAAAGATATTGGCTTGTGGGTTTCTCTTAATGTGTTTGATTTTTGTTTCAGGCCAGTGCTGGTCTTACAGAATGAGTTGGGAAGGCTTCCCTCCCTTTCAGTTTCCTGGAAGTTTGTGATGAGTTGGTCTGAAGCACCACCATTTCTACCTAAGTTACTATAACGACCCCCCATCCGATCTCTTGGCATCTGCCTGTGACAGACAGGTTGGGAATGGAAAGAGCTACATAGTGGTGATTTCCTTTATTAAGCTCTGAACCAAATATTTTTACACCATAAACGTTGTTATGTTTAGCATCATGGCGCTGGTTTTAGCGAGAAGACTTGCCAAGATGCCAGGAAGGCTGTCCGAGGTAGATGCTCATTGGGAGGTTTCATGTCTTCATCCTCCTGTGAGGGGGCAGCACTTGCTTCCTCACCTGTAAAGCTGAATAAACTCAAGAGACTCGCTTAAAACAAGGTTACCATGGGTGAAGATGTTGATCTTCTCCAGACATTTCCTCCTAAGCATAGAATATTTCATTTACATGGATTATTTAATTTATATGGATTATTTAATTTACTTGGATAATTTAATATAATCCTCGCATTAATCCAGTAAGGAAATGGAGGCTTCAAGTAAGTTTTCTCAGCTAGACAGCCAGTAAGTGGGATGTAAGACTGTGTAACTCCAGCAGGTGTTGAGACATGGGGTCATGTCTCCCTTGCAGAGAGGCCTTACCTTACCTCCCAACTCACTTCCTGTCACATCTCACTGTTAGCTTCTTCTTGTATTGCTTCCTAAGATCATCATTGCTTCCTGTCTTCTCCCACCAGGATGCCTGTTGGTCTTCATTGCTCCTGCTCTGTCCCTCTGTGCTTGGGACTGTTGGCATATAGGAGGCTATCAGTGCATTTCTGAACACTCAGTTTCACTGGCTATTAACATAAAAATTTATTTGAGTTCTAAACATAATTTAGAACATAGTTCCATGCTTTGTGAAGAGGAAAGGGAAATTTGAAGATGTCTGGGCTCCTGGGAGCTGCAGCCCTTGACCTCCTGGTGTGCCCCTTGGCATTCTCTGATCCAGGCAGGATACATCTGAGAAGACAGCCCATGCAGAAGCACTTAGCATAGAAATTTGCAGGTGATGTGATTTGAATTCAAGTAAGGTGTAAGCTCTTGGAAGAAGGATATACCCACTGGACCTTCCTGGGCCCTGATGCCATGATAGGGTACAGGCAAGCACTTGGGCCCTTGGCTCTTGCTGTATCTTTTAATTAACAACAGCAGTAATTAATTAAATTAGTTAATAGATGCTCCCTGGCCTCCTGTCACAACATGAGTAATAGTCTTAAGGGCGTCTCTCCAGGTGATGTGTGCATGTCGGCTTTCACTTGCACAGGTTTCAGTTCCAAAAGAGCTGTACCTTGAGAGTCATTTGGTTTACTTCCGCCATCCCTTCTTGCCCTCCCTGTGTGGGAGACTTGGGATCAGCCTTAGTTTGACACAATACGTTTCTCGCTCAGTGGGGTTTTGAAAAACCTATTTAAATCAGTAAAATCTTTTTTTCTTTTTTTTAAAGGAAAAACGTAAGGCTGAAGAAGCCCTCAGTGACCTCAGACGTCAGTATGAAACAGAAGTAGGGGATCTACAGGTGACAATAAAGAAACTTAAAAAGGTGGGTTTGTGGCAGTGAGGCTTCTAGGAATAGCCTCAGTATATCAGGGTGTTTAAGTTTTTAGCGACTGAAAACATTGGGAATCATATTAAAGCAGCAGTTGGAATCAGATTTCAAGTCAGACTGGGCTTCCTGAAAGATGGTTTTATAAAGGTCCCTGATTTTCTGTTTCAAGGGCAGCCTTTCTTCTGCACAGGTCTAATAAATATTTCTGACCCCTTGGACAGTTGTCCATCAAACCCCGGTTTTCCTTCCTCGGGTACCCTCAGTTCAGTGGACTCTGCTCAGGACAGGAGGGATCCTGTCTTTACTGGTCACATATTCTCATATCCTTGCCCCCAGCTAACTGCAATGATCCGTATTCAGTGAATATTTATTAAATAAAGTAAATATTCTTGTTCTGTGCAGAAAGTTCCACATGTAGGGCACCCCTGATCAGCAGGAGTTAGGAGAGAACTTGCTGAAATGTAAGCAAAGGTGTGATTGCGTTTGGCCTTTGCTGTGTTTGGCCTCTAATGAGTAAGGTATTCTTCACCCTGTGATGTGCTGGTACCTACTTAACAAGAGGCTCTGGAGAGGGGAGGGGGTCAGGGACAAATCTGTAATATTTGCTGATTTCCATGGTGTTAATGCTCCCATCATTACAATTTTAAGCTGCCAAGTTGACATCACCAAGAGCAGAGTTTGGGGAGAGCTACGTCCCATTGGCTCTCCGCTGCCGGCCCAGGCTGCCTGCCGCTTGGTACTGGATCCACTGCTTGGGTGTGGGTTGTCTCTGTAGCGAGCAGAAATACCTTGGCTAAAGTAAAAACGGATACTTAAAAAAGAATCATTCCTGAAAGTGGCACTGTGGCACTTTGCTTCTCTGGTTGTTCATGTGATAACATTTAATGCTCTTTCCAGTGTTCATAGTCAATGAGATTAAGTGACGATTAGCTGTATTTTATAGTCTATTACAGTCCAAACCTCTGGGATTATTAAAAATTCTCCCCAATAGCCTTCTTGGGAAATTATGATCAATGTCAACCTTTTCTCTAGTTGACAGAGGCCATTAGACCAGACATGAGATGCTTGAATTGCACAATTTGAACAGACCAATCCCTTGTTGATGCCAGAGTCACAGATCTCCTCACCCTGGTCCTTAGTTATTTTCCTGTCTTCTGACATCTTTAGGCTAAAAGCAAGTTACGCAGAAAAGACACACAATTTCTTGCCACGATGAGGCATATGATGAGGACCAC